CAGACTTAACGCCAGAAAGGTGTCCTCTGACCTCCACATGTATGTGCTCCCTAGTACACACACCCACTCCCACACATATAATAACAGAAAGGAAGAGCGGGCAGGAGGGATGGAAAGACAGGGAGGGAGGGGTTCTTATTTTAGATTTTGTTTGTTTTTTGTTTTTTATAAAAATTCACAGAAAATAACTTCAAAGAAAATAGGAAAACCTAAAAGCTTTATTTGGGAACAAAGAGAAATGGACTACAAATCAACCAGTCTTTCAAAACTAGCCGGGCAGTGGTGGCACATGCCTTTAGTTCCAGCACTTGGGAGGCAGAAGCAGGTGGATCTCAGTGAGTTCGAGGCCAGCCTGGTCTACAAAGTAAATTCCAGGACAGCCAGGACTGTTACACAGAGAAACCCTGTCTCATAAATAAATAAATAAATAAATAAATAAATAAATAAATATTTTTAAAAATTCAAAACTAACTTCGAATAAAGAAAAACTAGGACACAGGCTCAATTCCCAGCACCCACATGAAAGCTCATTAACTCCAGTCCGAGGGGATTCTATGCCCTTTTCTGGTCTCCATGGTCATTAGACACACACAGCACACAGACATGCAAGCAAAGCACCCATACACATAAAAATAAATAATTTTTAAGTTAAAAATAAAACAAAACAAAAAAACAAAAACAAAGCCAGATGGTGGTAGTGATGCACTCCTTTAATCCTAGCACTCAGGAGGCAGAGGCAGGTGGATCTCTGTGAGTTAGAGGCTAGCCTAGTCTACAAAATGAGTTCCGTACAGCCAGGGCTGTTACACAGAGAAGCCCAGTCTCGAAAAACCAAAAATCGGGGCTAGAAAGATGGCTCAGTGGTTAACACCACTGACTGCTCTTCTAGAAGACCAGGTTTCAATTCCCAGCATCCATATGGTAGCTCACAACTGCTGTAATTCCAAGATCTGGAACACATGCAAGCAAAACACCAATGCACATAAAATAAAATAAAATGAAATGAAAATTATTTAAAAAAAAACTGAAGAATCTATAGAGAATGACCAATTTATGTGAGAAGTAAAGGGAGGAAAAACATGGCATTAACCCTGACATAAAAACATGGCATTAACCCTGACATACTGGGTTTGAACTATACTAGAAGGATCTTATATATGTATGTGCATTAAATGTATTAACAAGTCATCTTGACACCATATCATTCATTGCTCAGAGTCTACCTTGTCAATTAAAGGTAGAAAAAAACTTGAAAAGAGAGAAATGGGACACATCAGGAATATTGCTTGCCTAGAATGTACATGGCTCCAGGTCTGATCCCCAGTACAGCAAAGAAAAGGGAGCATGCTTAACAAATTTGCATGAGTATATGTAAAAGAACCAGGGGCTAGGGATGCAGCAACATGGAAGTGTTTATTTAGCAAGCACAAGACCCTGGGTTCAATCTCCAGTACCACTTAAACCAAGCACAGTACTGCACATCTGTAATCCCTGCACTTGGGAACAGAGGATCAGGAAGAGACCAAGGCCAGCCTGAGCTACATGAAACCCCATCTGAAGCAAATGATGGAAAAGGAAAGGGGAAAGGAAAGTGGAAAAGAGAAGGAAAATGAAAGGAAGGGGAGGGAAAAGGTAGTGGAAGGAAATGTAGTGGGAAAGAGGAGGGAGGGGAAGGGGAGTGCGGTGGCTTTGCCACCACACTTAGTTACATGCATAATTTTGTTATAGAACACTGACAAGATTATTTTTTAAAAGACTTTCAAGCCCAAGATTTTATTTTAGGAGTTTAAGATACAGCCTAGCATGCTTGGAGCTTGGGTTCAAATTTGATTACCAAACTAACACTTACTCAGAGGGTAAAGGTAAGAGAATTAGAACTTCAGAGTCACCCTCAGGTATGTAACCAGTTCAAGGCCAGTCTGAGACACACAGGAGTCTAACTCAACAAAAATTTTCAATTAAAAAATACAAAAGATATTGCTTTAGGCTAGTGATTCTCAAAGTGTGCTACCTAAACCATTAATAGTAGCACCACCAACTTGTTAAAATGCAAACTGTGAGGGCTGGAGAGATGGCTCAGAGGTTAAGAGCACTGGCCGCTCTTCCAGAGGTCCTGAGTTCATTCCCAACAACCACATGGCAGTTTACAACCATCTATAATGAAATCTAGTACCCTCTTCTGGTGTACAGGAATACATGCAGGCAAAAGGCTGTATACATAATAAGTAAATCTTAAAAAAAAAAAATGCAAACTGTGGGATCCCAGAGTTCTAGTAAATCAGAAACTCTGAAGCTGAATCACCTTGGAAGCTTATTAAAACACCAACTATTGAACCACTGGACCCTCATCCCAGTTCTTGACTCAGCAAATATAGGATATAACCCAAATATGTGCACTCCTAAGAAGTTTCCCAGGTAAACCTGATGCTGCTGCAGTTGTTCCACAATGACACCATGGAAGCTATGTCTATACTGCTTCTAGGCCAACAGCTAGAATGTAAATACCTTCTCTGACCCTCCTAAATTAGATCTCCCACCAGATTTACTTTACTTAAACACACATCTTTAATAATTGATAACACAATGACTCTACATCTGTTTTCCTCCTCAGTTCAATCACCTAAAGGACCACATGAATTTTGCTCCCATTGTATGCCCAGCACTTAAATACAATGTATTCGACAAAGTAGGTACTTAACAGTGAAATGTCAGTTTCTACACAACAGAGCCAGGGACTATAACACAAGGGTTAAGAGCAGCCAACTACAACTAAATATCATTAAAGTCAGGAAACAAACAAACCTTAATGATGCATTTTCTACTTCCTCCCCAAGTCTACTGAGAACCCTAGTTCCAAAAAGCATTATTTTTATTAGAACACACACAGACACACACACACACACAAATACACTCATGGTTTATTCAATCACAAACAAACACTGTACTATCAGAAAACTTAACATATAAGACAGTTTTGGCAGGGGAGTTGGGAAAGAGACTGGCGAACTTACCCTCTTTAGCCAAATATAACTCCTTAAATTTTGCTCTCTTTTGATTAAATTCTTGCTCAAGCTGCTGCTGTGCACGTAAAAATTCTGCATTAATTTTTTCCAATTCTGCTACTCGTTGCTGAAGAGAAACTGAAAAAATAAATACTAGTTAACAAATAATAAATTTGTTTATATATAAGTTTCAAGAATAAACAGTCATCCAGCTCCATACTGCTATATACACATAAACTAGAAGGGAAGCTGAAATCCATTATATTCTAGGAAATTGTAATTTTTTTAAAAGAAGCCAGACACATCTATTAGATTTTGATACACATACTGTGAATGAGTCATATAAAATGAAACAGAATCACAGAGAACAAAGCCAATTTCAATACAAGAACTCCTAACGCTCTTTAGTACACTGACAGAATATTAAGCCACAGTTGGCATTATTAAATATTGACTTAGTTAAGCTACTTATCCTGCAGCTAACCCCACTGTCAATGTTGCTACTTCCTGTTTCTTTGTTATGAGCAAAACCTAATGGGCTCCCTGGCTAGGACAGCCACAACAACTGAAACTATTCTTGCAGTCCTAGAAGTTCCATTACATTATATAGAAATTCTGACCATATGGAAAGGACACAAACCTGTGGTTCTATGTTAGAGCTCCAATACTAGCACATCAGTTTTCAGGTAAGTAAGTGTTGGGCATAGTCTGGCAAGGTATAGACATATTCCTTACTTAGGGGCTCAAGATTTGGCACTAAAACTGCCTATTCTGTTCAAGGCCAGGGCTGTTTGGTCAAAACACAAACCTCTGACTCTGCCTTAAGGCTATCAATATAATCCCTACAGGAGATATTTATCCAGTTGGATCTGCCCACATTATAACCAAGATCCAGGATTACCTCTGAAGTCCACTCTTTACCCACAAGCCACTGCTAAATTCACAGCTGATTTCATTATACACATAGAAAAGACTAGAAAAGTATACCAATGGTTAGAACTAAGCTCATTTCCTTCATTTTCTTTTCAAAGTTCTCTGCAATACAGATGTATTTCTCTAACAAATACCAAACTAAACCTTATATTAGTTAGTTCCCACATCCCTAGGCTAGCTTCACTATTCGAAAATATTAGAACAACTCATAGCCAGATGGAAGACTGCTGCTTTGAGCTCTGTGTAGTTAAAGGCAGAGTCATTCTGAGCCATACCTACAGTCAGACAATGACAACCTGACCATGTGAGTCATTCTGAGGTACACCTACAGTCAGATAATGACAACCTGACCATGTGAGAGTCATTTAAGGTACACCTACAGTCAGACAATGACACCTGACCATTTAAAAACTTTCTCCTTCCTTCTTTCTTTTTTGTAAAAAAGGAGGTAGACTATATCATAAGCCAGCCATGTAAAACACATGAAGGTAACATTGGAAGGGGGGGGGGAGGTTACCATCTAAAATCATAAGGAAATTCAGTCCCTGAGCGCCTTATTTCTACTAGTACTTATTGCTGAATCCCAATGGTTAAATTAATAGCTCTCCCACAAAACACTAAAATTACTGGCACTACTGACTACTACAAAAATAAACAAGGCTTCTGAAAATGAAGGAAATAACCATTCCATAATGTACATGCACTTCAAAATGTTACAATGTACATATTTTTTAAAATATTACATAATATAGCAATTTAAAATAAATGAAAAGAGAAAGAGGACCCTTTGTTCACATTCTTCCCTATATCCTATCCCATCCATACCTTCACCAAACCACACACATGTATAGAGGCTCATGCCATTCATCATTATATTTAAGTTAAATAAGACTAACAAATCAACAACAAAAAAGCAGCCCTTAAAACTACAGCCAAAGCCTGGCATAGTGGTTTGTACCTATAAGCTCAGCACCTGGGAGTCTGAAGCAGGAGGAGTAGCATGAGTTTGAAGCTAGCCTGGACTACAGAGTGATACACTCACATAAATTTTTATTTTTTTATTTTTTTATTTTTTTCAGCTAACCCTTGTGCTTCCACTACTCCCTACTCCACCCTGGCTCTGACCCACACAATTCAAATCCAAGTCCACACCCACAAGTCTAAATGGCTCTCTTCACTCTTTAAGAAAGACTACAATTCCAGGAATCATAACCCTTGATGGTGTACCAATAAGTCCTTAATTTTAATTCTGTTTTTGTGTAACTTTCAACAGAATCTATCAAGTACTCTAAGCATATCACATTTCTACAAAACAGAAAAGTCAAAATAACTCATTTTCACAGGCATGCCTTTACCGTCACACCTACAAAAGTCAATTTACCCCAGACAGTCAGACGTTTACAAATAGGTATATCATAATATATTAACAGGAAACTACAAATCAAACTAAAAAGCTCATCAAATGGAAGTGCTATATTATTTTCCTAACATGGTGATTAAATAGTTGACAGTGACTAACATATAGTGCAAAAAGTAACATGGAACGGAGGGAAAAAATGATAAATGTTAGCTGTCATTTTAAAATTAAAATTAAATAATGAGTAAAGAAATACAGAGATTGCCAGGCAGTGGTGTCACACACTTTTAATCTCAACGCTCGGGAGGCAGAGGAAGGCAAATCTCTGAGTTCAAGGCCAGCCTGGTCTACAAAGCAAGTTCCAGGACAGCCTCCAAAGCAATACAGAGAAACCCTTTCTCAAAACCCACACCACCCCACCCCTCAAAAAGAAAAAGGAAAAAAAAAAAAAATACAGAGATCAAGTTCTTCTGTGGCCACAAAAGACTAAAAGTCACTCCTAACCTCATGATTCTCACCAAGTTCCATCCTGACTTCCCTGCTACACACAAACTAACTAGTGTTAACACCAGCTTTCAACAGTATGGAATTTTGGGAGATTTAGTCGCATGGAGTTTTAGTTTATCAGCTTTCACAAACACAGCTCATACATTATTACCTGCATTTGAGTACTAAGGAGGAAATCATCTGATGCCAAAGCTACCTCGTTTATTTATTAAGGACAGGAAGAGGGGAAAAGACAAAGTTTCACTATATAGCCAGCCTAGACCAAGGCCAATCTAGAATTTATGTTGCCACTGACTGAATCACAGTGATTCAGCTGCCACAGGCTGCCAAGTACTTGGACTAAAGGTGTTTCCCATGCCACCATGTCAAGCCTCTGTGGCTCCATTTATTTGTTTGTTTAGGTTTTTCACCAGAACAGCTACTTTAAATACCAAAAAGAAAAATGACTGTCAGTTACTCAAAAATATCTGAATTAAGCAATAACAATACAGAAGGGGAGGTAAAATCATAAATAAGGAAAAGATCCAGTAATTCTTACATATTTGACCTTTCCTAGTTTTACTGGTGTTTACTGAAACAGTCTCAACTCCCAGTCCTCTTTCTTTTGCCTCCCATGTACTGGATTGCAAGAGTGGGCCACCACCACCTTGTCTAGCTTACTTTTCCCTAATTTTGATATGAAAGAATGAACAATAACTTAAAACCAAGCTGTGTCCTACTATATACCTTAAAAAAGAAAATACTTCACTAAGTTCAGTGAGACAAAAATGAGAAAGAGGAAAAAAGCAATCTGGGTCAAATCTTACTATAACCAGAAATTTTTATTCAAAGATTTCCCTCAAGAGCCAAAGATACCCATTTCAAGCTACAGAACATTAATGCAGGAGGGGGGAAAGAATCTGAACAGTACCTAAAACCCACAAGTCTTGACTTGTTTTGCCACTGGATTTTTAAACGAACTACTGCCATGCACAGGGTATGTGCTCACGATTCAGCTACTCACAAGGCTAAGACAAAACCACTTCAGCCTAGGAGTTCAAGCCAAGCTGGGCAACTCAGTAAGACCTTGTAAGAAAGAAAGGAGGAAAGGAGAGGAGGGAAGGAGGATAATGGAGGAGAAAAAGCGTAAAATGAAATTATTAGGTATGTTAGGTATATCCATTTAATGGATTACCAAAGCCAAAAAATATATAATAAAAAGAACAAAATACAAAATTACTTATGGCCCAATATGAACCATGTAAAAATATAATTTAAAACAGACTAGAAAGAATATGCCCAGCCATAACAGTGGACCAAGCAGCCAGGCCACACATTTGCCACACCTAACTGGGAAAAGAAGCTCCTGTCCACATTAGCCTAGGCCATGGCATGCTGCCATCAGGAGTTGGCAGAGCAGAAATTCTCTAGGCAACTTGGAAGGGAAAACTCATATGGCCAAGGACATCCTGAGGGAAGTAAGGATGCATTCTGATGAGCTGAACTAGGTACCAGAGCTGAACCTGAAGATACTCAGCAGACCACAGAGCTCAAGGAAGGATGCACAAACAGTAATAACGGAAGCCCAAATACATCACAAAAAAAAGCACAAGTAAAGCCAATGCTTGGGGCTAGAGAGATGGCTCAGGGATTGAGAGCATTTACCTGCTCTTACAGAGCACTCAGTCAGATTCAGTTCCTGGTATTCCCATGAAGATTCAAAACCCTCTGTAACTCCAGACCCAGGGGATCTGATGCCTTCTTCTGATCTCTTTGGGCCAGGGTGCACATACACACATGCAAGCAAAAAATTCAAAGACATAAAATAAGTAAATCTAGAAAAAAATAAGTCAAGCAGTAGAGGGACACACTAATCTCAGCATTCAGAAGCAGAGGCAGGTGGATCTCTATGAGTTTGAGACCATTTTGAGTGAGTTCCAGGACAGCTACGGCTACACAGAGAAACCCAGTCTGGAAAAAAACAAAATTAAAATAAAGTAAGAAATGAAAATGCCTATGTTGGGTTAAAGATATAGCTCCATTAGTAGAATACTTGCCTGACATGCATACATCCCTAGATGTGACCAACACCCCAGATACTGAGCATGGTGGTGTATGCCTGTAATCCCAGTGCTTAGGAAGTGAAGGCAGAAGTACAAATTCAAGGCCAGCCTTGACTACACAGCAAGTTCAAAGCCAATCTTAGTTCAAAGCCAGCATGAATTACAAAAGAGACCATGTCAAAAAAAAGAAAAACCAATTAAAAAGAGAAACTTTTATGTTAGCTGGTCATGGTTAAGTCTAGCACTCAGAAGGCAAAGAACAGCTCAGGCCATCCCGAGTTACATTTTGGGACCCTGTC